GGGCCTCTCGGCTCCCCGCGAGCGGAGCCAAAGTAAACCCGGCGGCGGGGCCGGCCCGGGCACCTGCAGCTGCTCCCCGTGGGCAAAGCGCACATCAAAGCGAGCGGCCACCCCGCGGCCCGGGGTCGTGTCCCCAAGGCTGGCATGGGCACGGCCGCTCGGCTGTGCCCACGGGTGGGTCCATTGGGAAATCACCGCGTTGGGCACCGCTGCGCGCGAGCGTCAAGTGCGCAGGGTGCGCAGGGCGCACGTGGCGCAGGGCGCCTCCGTCCCCAGGCTCTTGAGCCCCTCGAGCGCTCTGAGCTCGCGAGCTCCGTGCGCAGGGGAGGCCGTGGGACCTTCCTCCCCTCGGCCGCGTGCACCCCCTTCACCTGGCACCTCGCCGGGACGGGAGCCCACGGGGGTGTCGGGGAGCGGAGTGTCCTGGTCCGTGTCCCCAGGGGGGGAATGGGCTCCCTTGCCAAGCGCCAGCCCCACGGGTGCCACCACCCTCCTCGCATGGGCCCCTCAGTGGTCCCTGGGGACCGACCCGCCTCAGACGCCCGCAGAAAGGTGCCACCACACCAGACCCTGCATCATTTCTCCTCCCAGGGCCCCCTTTTTTCCCCTTGCACCCCACTGATTCCCAGTGTCTCCATGCAGAATCCCCCCTGGATGGCCTTGGGCTCCAGGGTGCCAGGGCCAGGGAATGCCCTGTGTGTGTTTCATGCAGCCCTGGGCCAGGCTCCTGCGGGGACATGGCCCGTGGTGGCTCCATGCCATCCACACAAGGACGGTGGTTGGGTGGACAGGGACAGGACGCTCTCCAGGAGCGGTGCCACAGTGGCAGGACAGGCAGGGGACGAGTGGGGGAGTATGAGAACCACATTTGGGGACCGGGGGACAGTGTACTCTGCAAACAGACACACACAGCTCAAAGCACAGACACTCATTTATTGCAAGTGCCACCAGCCAAGGGTGGCAGCATGGCCATGGCACGGCCCTGCCGAGGCCACCGTCCA